TGTAATGCAACGTGTATAGGGATTTTTGACATCTTGAGTATTGGGGCTCTCCAGGTAAATAACACCAGTACTATCAAGACCACTCCCCCTCCTCAGGTAACCGTACGGTAAAAAATTGGGTCTTTAAGGTAATGTCAAAGTAAGTACCTCCCCATTCTTTAGAAGTAATTGAGCCGAGGTTCCAAAGGGGCCAAGTCCTATTACTTTTAAGGAATGGAAAATCCCATTACTTTTAAGGAATGGAGAGTTAAAAGGATATTGACCTACTGAAAATCCACTATTTAAAATTCTGATAATTTTTGTTTATATTGATATGATGTAGATTTTTTTCTATTAAAAATGTACATTTAAATAATTGAAAATCATAGGTTCTTATAGGAAAACTAAGTGTTCTAAAGTTTTTAAATACCCTTTCTACATCGGCCTCATTAGCTTAGTATGGAGCATATAGGACTTTAATGTAGACAGTACCAAGTTCATTTCCCAGCATTGTCAGATTTTTAATTAAAATGATAGAATTATATAGTGATATTTGAACATTATGTGAGCTAAAGTAAAAATTACATGTGTTTTTGTGGATTACTGTTAAATATTTATATACAAATGATAACATAAAGCCTCATTAAGTTTACTGGGGTAGAATATTGAATTATTGATACATCAGTTCCTTTCCTGAAAATGTTATGTTTTGAATATTTATGAGTATGAGGTATGTCTGTCCCCCTGAATAGGGTGTTACGGCATTGATTCCCACAGAAATCACCACTTCTGACTTTAAAGATTATATTCTCTGATGAAGGTAGCCAATTGAGGTCAGTGTATTGTCTAGAGAAATTGATATATGACCCTGATCATAATAATAAATGGATAATTTGATGGCCATATTGAGAATTGGGTGTTAGTATAAGTATAATTTGTACATCAATATTTCCCATAGAATTCATTTGGAAATGGAAAACTGGCTTGGATGTTTGTACTAACTAATTGGTAATATAACCCAATATATTTCAATACCCTGACATGCAAGAGGGTATGTCAAACAGACAACGTAGTACCATTAAGTATTCAACATCAGTGCCTCCATGCTGAAAGCTTAGTTCCAGACTTTGGTTCAATGGTATTTGTAATTTCCATAATTGATTCAATCGAACAAGGAAAGGAACAACTAAAACATGGAAATAAGAAAATCTGATTGATGATTGCAGTTGATAGGATACTGTACTTTGAGATTCATTGAGTGGGAATTAAACAAGTCATTTGTTTGGCAGGCTAGAGAGAACTAATTTGACTGAGAGCACTAGCAGGTCAGTGTACAAGACAGATATTGCAGATAAATTGGATTTTTGAGGGCTTTTTCTTTTCATGGACAAAATCGAATCTGTATCTTAGATAGGTGGCTCTATTATATATTGGATGGTTCTTCATCATCGTGAACCATTAATGCGAAGTCTCTATGGATACCCATTTTGAAATAGAATGTAGATTTACCTGACTGTTCTCTCTGTGATTGCTTTTGATTGCATGTCTCTGAATGATACTCAGGAAGTGGGAATTGATTAGTTCAGGACAGAATGAAGAAGAAAGCGTCTTGCACCGACCTTGATGGTTTAGAAGTCAGTGAAAACTTTAAATGTAAGGTAAATTCTTACCATTACATTAAACTCTTTAATTCAGGTAAAGTTATATTATGATGGACTAATCAAACATATTTATTAATGAATGTTTGCTTCTATATGTTGTCATAAGGTGTCTAATGTTCCAAGTTTCAGTATATTCATGTTTTTACCAGGTTTCTGTGTTGTACTGTTTGTATTTTTTTTTCATGCATGTACGTGCTCAAAGGTTTCAATTGATATTTCTGATGGTCACACCATGTTCAAATGATGTAAACCAATTCATACAATAAATATTCTGCTCTATAAGAAAGTTTCTGGTATATTTGTACTAATATTTGATTGAAATGATTCATCAATGCTGTTTTAACTTACCGGTAAATGGTACCTTTCCCCCATTGAAAAAATATGTCAAAATTCCCCTTTTATTTTGCAGCAAAATTTCCGGATTAAACATTTTTTTTTTTACATGTTTTTATTCATGTAAGTTTTAGAAACTACCTCAGAATGCAGATTTTTGCCACATTTATTACAAAATTTCCATGGTGACAAGTCTCTAAATTTCCATATGATAGTATATTCACACCAGACCTCCAGCACTAATGCCCGACAATCTTCTCATTTTTCCCCTTAGTGTAGTCAAATAAAAGAGGTAGATAAATCCCTGAATTGCTAGGAAAAGGAAGAAAAAGGGAATTAGTCTTAAAAGTAATACTTGCTCTTGAAAAAAAATGATTGAACACATCATTTGTAGTATAAGTCTCCCAAATCCTAACTATAAGATTCAGTGAAAGTTTTTATAAGAAGGGAAAATGTTGTTTTGAAAGATTTCTCATGAGTTTGTTTTTTGCTCTACTGGTCAGAGACCAGAAGAGCTTATGCGAAAGTAAGGTGTCTGTTGTCCTTCCGTCTGTCTGTCTGTTAGTCGGACTGTAAATAATTTTTCATAATTCAAAATACTACTCCTCCTAAAGTTTTGGTCTGATTTCTATATAACATGGCACACAAGTAGACTACACTAAGATACATAATTCTGTATATCGGTTTTTGATTTCAATGAATGGTGTTGCCATGGTTACTAAAAATAGAAATTTCTGTGAAATACTTTCAAAATGCTACTCCTCCTACGGTTTTGGTCTGATTTCAATATAACTTGGTACACAAGTAGACTACACTAATTAAGATACATGACGTATAATATCAGTTTTTGATTTCAATGAACAGTGTTGCAATGGTTACGAAAAATAGAAACTTCTGTGAAATACTTTCAAAAGGCTACTCCTCCTACATTTTTGGCTTGATTGAAAGATATAATTTGGCACACTAGTAGACTACACTAAGATACAAAATTTGTTTATCAGTTTTTTGATTTCAATGATCTGTGTTGCCATTGTTTCTAAAAATAGAGATATCTGTGAAATACTTTCAAAATGCTACTCTTCCTACAGTTTTGGTTTGATTTCAGTATATAATTTGGCATACAAGTATACTACACTGAGATACATAATTTGTTTATAGTTTTTGATTTCAGTGAACTGTTGCTATTGTTACCAAAAATAGAAATTTCTGTGAAATAATTTCAAAACGTTACTCTTCCTACAGTTTTGGTTTGTTTTTAAGTTTATAATTTGGCACACAAGTAGACTTCAGTAAGATATGTAATTTTACATATTGGTTTTGATTTAAATTATCATTTTTTAAGTCATTATTTACCGTGTCATTATTTTGAGAAGTTGAAAGCATTTGCATAATTTTTGACAGTTTCCCGAGCAATTTTACATATTGGTTTTGATTTAAATTATCATTTTTTAAGTCATTATTTACTGTGTCATTATTTTGAGAAGTTCAAAGCATTTGCATAATTTTTGACAGTTTCCCGAGCAAGTGGGAGTGAAATAGTGGTAAGCACACTTGACAAAAAATGGCGACTTTTGATGATGTAATGTGCACCTGAGAGCATTCAACTGTTTTAGGACATATGCCTCTAAAGACTTTTAAAAGATAAAAGAACATGAAAAGAATCAGAATATTACTTATCTTTGACATAAAAATTGGATAGACAATCTTTTAATTGGAAATTTGACTTTGAGTTCCATGATAGACCAATACATATGAATAAATATAGCTATACTGGCAGTAATGAAAGATGATATTAACATAGACCATGGAAAAACTGTTCCGAGATTGTCTATTTAGTTGAATATGGTAAGAGGACCTAGATAACATACTAGTACAAAACATCAGATGGTCTCGTGTGTGTGTGTGAGATTGATCCTTTGCCTGCTAAGGATTGAAATTTCTCTATTAGTCTAGACTGATCAAACTTGTTTTTAGCAGATTATCAAAACAGATGAAATATGACATTGCAGTAGACATTTTAACATTATTGTCTGTGTGCCACAAGGCAAGACCACATACATGTATAACATAAATTACCATATTCTGTTTATTTGAGCATATATCTTTATATATAGAGAATATAGAGACTAATCTTTTCTGAATATAACTGTACAATGATAATTAATAAACCAATGAGCATTGAATTTTTTTTTTTAGAATGCAGTATTGGTTACTTTTTGCTCAAGGCAACTTGTTTGCAATTTTACTGGACAATTCTCGTATAATGATGAAGTCTGTCATGTTCAAGATGGCTTACTTTAAGAAATGTATAATTTTGCAATAACCCCCCACCCCTTCCCTCCCAAAAGATTAACTTGTAAAAAATAATTTCATCCTGATTTATACAGCTTAAAATTATGTAAAGTTATTAAAGTAGTAAGCAACAAAATATGGCAGTTAAGCTAATGCTTCAAAATGCTGAGTGCTGAGATTTGTCAAGATGGCTTCATAAATCATTTATTATGGCAACATACATTTTCAGAGGCAAGGTTAGATGATAGATATCAATTGATCTGCATATTAAGATAAAATATTGATTAATTGATGAAAGCAGCCAACTTCAGATCTCTATTCTACTGTACAGGTCCTATGTCAACATTTCTGCATCTTGTGGGCGAGATTTATATTTGGTTCAGGATTTTGTTCCCAGTACATTAATAAAATTTTGCACTTTGCTTTGTTTTTTCATTCTTTGATTTATGTTGGTTGGCTATTTAGAAGATTACAGAAAACAGTATGTTGATCAGTTTTCCAGTAGAATTAAGTCTTTTTATTTTTCTTATTTTGAAAAAAGTAGAGAAGTCTTAAAAATGTGCATTTATTTAAAGAAATATTTTTCATATGAGGTAATAAGAATTGTGTAGATTTTGATGACACTTTTTGGGGTTTTAGGTGGATTTTTCTCAAAAGTCAACTGTTTCGCATTTATACGTGTCCATTAATTTGTGACCTATGCTTACTGATTGACCTAACTTTTCTGTTTTTCAGAAGGACACCCATGGACAAGAACTATTTGATCAAGTGTGTAATAAACTCAACTTGGTGGAAAAGGATTACTTTGGCCTGAGATATGTAGAAGACAAACAAAGGGTATAATTAATACTTATCAAAAATTTTTTTAAAAAAAGAAGATACTTTCTGCATTACATTAGGAATGTAAACATATTCTGATCAGGTGTTTAAAATGATTACCTCATCAACAGTGATCAAAAGGAGGGGCTGATTTTGCTTGTAGCTCAACGTGATAAAATTTATGTTTCTTAGTACACGTATTAAGAGTTTGATTCTAAATAAGACTAGTAGGAAATTCAAGAAAATGGAATTCAATGGCAGCATGCTAAGTGTTAATTTGTCCCCATGACTTTTTAGCTCCCTTGAGCCGAATCGAAGGCTTAAGTGAGCTTTTTGGATAAAAATTTGTTAGACTCCACTGTCTGTTGTCTTTGTCATTGTTCTGTTCATTGTCATAAACATTTTAGCTTACCCGAGCCAAGGCTCCTTGGGTAAAGAGGATTCAAGTTTTTCAAATGAATGGCCACACCTTCTTCCAAGGGGAAATAATTGAGAAAATAGTGAAAATTGGGTGGGGTCATTTAAAAATCTTTTTCTTAAAAGTCACTGGGCCAGAAAAGATGAAACATAAGTGATAATTTTCTGAGGTAGTGTAGATTTAAATTTGTTCAAATCATGACTCCCGGGATAGGGTGAGACCCCTATATTCCTACATAGGGATACATAGGAAAAATCTTAAAATTCCTCTCCTCAAGAACAGCAAAGGTATGATTTCTTGATTTTTATATGGAAACATCCTCAGGTAGTGTATATTCAGGTTTGTTCAAATCTACCCCCTAGGGGTAGGGTAAGGCCACAACAGGGGGTCAAAGTTATATATAAGAATATAGAGGAAATATATATTCTCTTCTCAAGAACAGTATAGCCATGATTAGTCACATGATAACAGAAGCATCCTCAGGTAATGTAGATTCAAGTTTGTTCAATTCATGCTCCCTGGGGTAGGGTGGGACCACAAAAGAAGATGAAACATTTGCTTGGAAATGTGTAGAAAAAAATTATTATAAATCTTCTAAGACCTCAATAAGTCAAAGAAATATGGAAGCCTTCAATTATTATAGATCCAAGTTTGTTCACCCCCCCCCCCCTTTGAGGTAGGTAGGGATCACATATAAATTTAAACTTTTCAATAATGATCAAGTGAGTGATGTGGTCCAAGGGCCTCTTGTTTAATAGGGGATGAATACTTGATATGGAATGAAATAAAATTAGATATAGAGAATTTGGATTCAAAGAATAACAATGATTTAGAATATAGATTAAGAACAAAGTTATCCATTATGATAGGGAAAATGCTGGTTTTAGAATTGGTAATATATAATTTAAAGACTAAGCACTTTGAAAAGTTTTAATCCTTGAAGGTGCCAGTACCTATATTCAAAACTTAGTTTATGTTGTGGGCAATAAAAAGAAGCTGAAATAGGAAAGTAAATGAAAGGCTTATTACAACAATTTTTATGGACACTTGACATAAATCATCTTTTGTGACACCTTAAGGTTTTCTTTGTTGGCCTGTATATGTTTTATTGTTAACCACTGGACGATTATAGTGGTCTATTCATGAAACATGGGTCATTTTGATGTCCTATAATTGTCAGTCCATGTAATTGCTGAAAGGACATTGTCAATAGTTTTTCAATCTCCACTCCCTAGCTGTGTCTTCTTTTGTCAGATTTGAATCTTGCGTTTAATCTGGAATGAATTATAATTAGGAAATACCACCCATGAAATGGGCATAGGATGGAAAATAAAAACGCTTAGACTATTTGTTGAATTACCAGATTTGTAGAGATACGTAAATGCATATACAGTGAAACTTGTCTAATCCGGACACCACTGGTTCCACAGAAATTGGCTGGATTAGACAACAATCTGGATTAGACAACATTAAAATCAACTGAAATTACATGTACTAAAAAGGACTGAAAGTTAACATTGTATTAGACAAGATTTCGAAATGCACAACATACGGATAAGACAAGTTTTATTGTATTTGTCAATTTTTATGGGTATTCTTTTACATTGAAAACAATATCTGATGTAGGTCTACCGTAAATTTAAGAAATTTTAGGTGACATCATTCTCCTATTATAGTGATCTTATTATTATTTGTACCTTTGACAGAAAATATAAGAGCAGATGTGATTATCAGTGTAAATGACTGTACATTGTATTTATAATAGAAAATTTTTATCCCAATTTTATTTTCACCCCTTTCCCGATGATGGCAATCATCATCATGGGCAAATTCAACACAGTTATTTATCTTTAACACAACTTTAAAACGGTAAAATTGTTTGTTGATAAGTCGAAAATAACAAAGGGTAAGACCCTGTACAGAGGAGCACTATTAATCCAGACATGGATGATCCAGATAATTAAGATTTTATGGACAATTTTTGAGGGGGAAACTGATTTTTGATGTTGACGAAATAAGTTCTGAATATTTAAATGACAAAACCACATGACTTAAGGATATCCGATCCTCAGCCAGGAAGGATAACTCTTAAAATTATTATTTTATTTAAAAAGTCTCAAAATGAAGCTTGAAATTGAGATCTTTTTGTGCAACAATTTTCATTTTATGCATCTTAATATGATTCAAGGTTCTTTTAGGTCTTACAAACGTCATGTAAAAAGTTGACATTTGTACCCCATAAAAGAAAGAAATGAATTCATTTTTAGAGAAATCGAATTTCCTTTAGTCTAGCATTAGATACCACTGCTTATTAGCATGAAATGAAATCAGATGTGATATGTGATGTCTAGCAATGATAGCACAAGCTTTTTACACTATGTATTATATAACAATTGAAGTTAAAAGAAGAACTAAACTACTGTTTAAGCATAAAAAAGATGCAATTTTCTCCAAATGCCTGGATACCTATATTTTTCTATCCTAAATTATATTTGTTGATCAATTTTAGATTAGAAAATGCATAGCTGGTGTTTTTATTCGCATTTCCTGAAAATATATTTGAGATTTGATAATTTTCCCTATATAATATGATTAACTATATAATGATTTTGAAGAAATTCCACGGGTAAATTCACATTACTATGTGAAATCAGAGACATTTTTTGTGCATTTTCAATTACTTAAAAGCTGATTTTCAGAACCTGAGGATCGGACTACCTTAAAAAGCTTAACACTTGTCTAATAAATAGGAATGTATGTGTGAGAAAATATGTGAAGTTACCATTTGACATATTGTATTATGTTCTGGATTTGCTCTTCTATATAAATACATGAACACTGCATTTTGATCTTTTATATCCCAGTTTACAGTAAATCTCTTCTTTTTATGCTCAGAGTGAGTAATTCACAACATGATTATAAACCACCATGATTTTGTTCGACCTCCATCATGTGATTTGTTACATTCGCTGAGCATTCTCAAGCTACACATTTTCTTAATTTTTGCATGACCTAACAAGAAAAACTTTTATAATTTTATATAATTATGAATATTCTTGAAAAGAAACCTAGTCTGGGAATATAATTTGATGAAAGTTACAACTTTTTATCAAGAATTATTTTTTCACAAAAAAAACAAAATATATTTATATATATACCCCCTGCATGAAAAGGGGGGGGGCATATAATAATGGGGATGTCCATCCTTTCGTACGTCCTTCCATATGTCTGTAACACTGGGGTACCCATCCCTTATCTGCAACTCCTCCTATACTGCTGATCATAATTTTATGTGACTCTCACAGCATGTTTATTACATAGTGCCATTTTATGTTTTGATCTGATACATAATTGGTATTTCCCATGACAAAACCTGGACACTGCCATTCTTTCTGTAACATTTGGGGTACTCATCTCTTATTTGAAACTTGTCCTATGCCACTAAATAAAATTTAATGAAACTTTCACAGAAATTTTATTACATAGTACCCTTGTGCACCTCCTGTTTTACATTTTGATTGAACAGATATTGGAGTTTCCCATAGAGATCATGTACACTGCCATTTTTTCTATAATATTGGATGTACTCACCTCTTGTCTGTAAGTCCTAGCTCCTAAACTACTAAATAAAATTTAATGAGACTTTCACAGAATCTGTGTTACATAGTGCCATTGTGCATCTCCTGTTTTACCTTTCGATTGCACAGATATTTGGGGTTTCTCATAACACAGCATTCATTGGACTATGCCATTTTAGTCGTGGGAGCAAGGGGTATCATTTTTTTAGCTTGGTGCTCACAGTATACCTCTACATTTTTACCATAAAAATTGCACCAACTCACTATAAACTACTGTGAAATCACTAATTTTTGTGGGGGTTTAATTTTGTTGTGGTATGAAGAGACCCACGAATCCTTAGTTGCCAATTCACCCAATTTTGTTGGGTTACACCCAACTTTTCAACCCTTTACTCGATTATTTTCTATGACATGGCAGGTCATGTTTTTCACCAGTTACAACCCAAGCAATGCCGTGTACTAGTAAATTATCAGTGCAGGTGTAAATAATTATCATTCTGGGAGTTGTTTTGACAAATGGAAGTTTGAAGTCGTTATAAAATAGCTTCCAATAGAATGATATTGTTATCAGGGCCAGCAGAAGCAAATTAAACCAAGAAAAAGAAAAACGATATTTATTTATTAATCAAAGAATCTTGGAAAACAACTTTCATTCGATAAAATAAAGTGATAGAAGATAGTGTGGGGCTAACTGTACATTTAATATATATTGCGATTGTTAATTAGGTTAGGAGACGAAAAATAACTTCAAAACCAAGATTGGAATTCATTCAAATTAATCACAAACTTCCCATGTGCATCAAATCAGCAATGCAGATTCTGAAAAGGCTTTCTTTATTTGAAAAAAAAATGCACACCTAATTCATGTCAATACTGAATAATGAAACCTTCAATGCCCTTTTAACATGTAATTTTAATCAATGAAGTAATTAATATATATATTCAATTTTTGCCATTGTTAGTTAAAACCTCTTTAAATAAAATAATTTTCAATATACAAATTGAAATGTGTGTGTGTATGTGAATGAATATATATATATATATAATTTAATCAAGATAATTACACCCTGAATGTCGTTACACATTTTGACCAGAATTTTTACTCTCCAAATCTGGTCTTGACCAGATTTTACAGTATGTGGCCATGAATTTATGATTATACTTCAAAATGTAATTTTTCTTATATGATACTACACAACAATTCTTCATTCAAGAAATCAAATCCCCACGAACCCATATTTTTTCCTCAAACAAGAAGGAAATTACCTCACAAAAATATGTGATTTTATAGTATTTTGTGAGATGACTGGAAAGCTAAAAAAAAAGCTTTTGACTAGAAAATAAAAAGAGAAGCAAGCATATTTTGTACTTATACAAGAAATTTTGAAGTGTCAATTTACACACAAAACTTAAAATTCTAAATCTTCAAGTTCACCATTTTCATAAGGAGTACAAGCTACCAGTTTTTGGCTCACCTGAGCTGAAAGCTAAAGTGAGCTTTTCTGATCATCCATTGTCCAGCGTTCATCTGTTTAGCAAATTTAACAATTGTCATTGTTGGTATGGCTAGCTGTCCAGATTTTTTGTTCTAGTTTGTGGATAGAAGGATCCTGAGGCAAAATTAGCAAAGCATCCTTGGATAAAGGGGATTCTAAATTGTTCAAATGAAGGGCCAAGCCCTCTTCCAAGGGGAGATAATCAGGAAAAGACAAAAAATAGGTATGGGTTTTCAAAAAATCTTCTCAAGAACCACTGGTCAAGAAAATATTGACTGATTGATTGTTTGTGGTTTCACATCTTATTCATTAGACAAGAATTTTCACTCATATTGAGATGTCACCGTAGGCCAGTGAAAGGCTTCAAATTTAGAACTATATTAGGTACTAGGGCTATTGAGCAGTGAGGGTTCTTTATTGTATTGACGCCTACCGTGCCATGGGACTTCAGTTTTTAAGGTCTCATCCAAAAGACCCGTGGCTTTCACTTTTAGTGCTGGCCACTTGGCAAAGAAACAGTCACTACCACTGTTTATGTCTTATGTTTGACAAGAATCAAACCCTGCCCCCCCAATCATGAAGTGAATGCCCTACAACTAAGCCACCAAGACTGGTGGGTCAGAAAAGAAGAATCTTGTGTGGCAGCTTCCTGAGAAAGTATAGATTCTAATTTTTTTCAAATCATGAACCCAGGGTTGGGTGGGGCCACAATAAGTGATCAGAGTTTAAAATATTAATATATGGAAAAAAATCTTTAAAAATCATCCTCTGAAGACCAGCACAGGCATGATTAGTTGTATTGATAAGAAAGCATTCTCAGGTAGTGTAGATCATGTTTGTTCAAATTATGATGCCCTGGGTGGTGGGACCACAATAGGTGATCCAAGTTTTGCATAGGAATATGTAGGAAAAAAATCTGCTGATGAAGAACAGCAGGATCATAGTGACTCAGGTGAGCATTATGGCCCATGGGCCTCTTGTTTGAAGATAACTTAAGCCTTGTGCTGACCAAACTTGCATGGATATTTTGGTTTAAATGCTGAATTCCCAAAAAACTAATTAAAATTAGGGATGGCTATCACCAAAAATTTCGTATTACAATGTCATGATTCTCCCCCAATATATCATTATAAATTCATGAAATTTTTACATGCAATTTTTACTATGATTTTAAATGAATTTCAATTATTTTTCTTTCAAATATGCTGTAAAAACATAACTTCATTTTTATTTATATAAGAATAAATCATGTTTGGATGCTAGGGTGTCAGTGTTTTACTGTTTTACATTTTTTACACTTTAGTTTAAAAGTTATTTAGTCTTCATATGAAAATACATTTTAAGCAATAAAAAATCACAATATACCGGTATACCGATAAAATCTCACATCCCTACTCAAAATACTACCCAGACAAAACTTACATAAATGCATCTAGGGATGCACACTACAAGAATATTTGTTAACTATGCTACTTTGCCTTCCTTAAAGATAATATTTTTTGAGGTGGACTTTCTAATTATTTATAACCTCATATAATGTTTAAAATTAGGGGAGGTGGGGGATAGTTTATTTTACAACAACCAGAGTTATTTTCACCATTTTTGATATTATCAAATTTATTCAATAGTTGAATTACAGCATTTCATCTTAAAAAATTATAACTGAATGGTCGTTGCATATACAAGTACATGTAATTTGCTCAGACAAGATTAGTTTGTAGCCAAATTCATCACCTGAAAGTTGCAGTCGATATGTTGAAATGTTGGCTGATCAGTATTTTTACATCATAGCTAATGCCCATGAGAGCTAGGCTCATGTATTGTTTTCATTTAGACAGGTGATGATAAGTTGATGAAGTAAATATTTGATTTTTTTAGCTAACAGAAATGAATTCATGGCCCAAGGGATCATTTCACATTAATCCTGATGATGCTATGGGGTTTTTTCCAGCTTTTGATGTTTAATTAATGGAGAAAACAATTTTAATTCATTTAATGAAAGCTGTTTCATTAAGAGCTAGAATTTAAAATGTTTAAAAGGAACACTGCATCATTAAAAACAAGCAACTTTTTAAAAATATGTATTTACAAATAACTTCATAACAGCTATTTATACTGTAATCTTTTTTACTTTTTCAGCATTGGTTGGATCCTTTGAAATCTGTATATAAACAGCTGAAAGGTAAGGCTGGTGTGTTGTAGTTGAGTCATATGCTGCAGCTGTTACCAACATTTTCTTTCATCCTTTTCTATATAAATTTGTGTATATATTTAGGGGATTGTCCTTATTTGACTTTAGAAAAGTACATTGGTTTTTAGTTGTTTGGGGTTTTTTTTTTATATAATTTCTATGTAAACTAATGACAGGTGATTTTTATAACAGTTGTACAGTCTGCATAATTTTAAAGCCCAACCCAGAAGTCTGATTTTTTTTAATGTGCATCATGGTACTTTGACAGCACTACCAGATAAAACATCATGAATGCCAAAAATAATTAATTTCCATGGAAATGGAATCACCAGATCTCCTAGCCTTTCAGGAGTGATATTATGAAGGACATCCTGGGATAAGAAGGAAGGAGCTCTGACATTTACATAAAAGCAGGATACTTTATGTCCAATCTCTCTCTTTGGAAAAATAAATTATACAAACCAGTTCAAGGAAAATGTAGAAATATGATTCATTTCCTTAAAATAGAATTTGAGATGTCTAGAACAGACTGATAATTGTATAGTATTTTCCATGAGTTGTTTTCTCTAAGTAATCAAGTTCTTTGTCTGTATGAAAAAAGCACATGAATTACCAGTCTCTTCTTTCTGATGTTAATAAATGAAGTATGCTTTAAAGAGATTCTTTATGAGGGCTAATAACATGTAAGACAAGCTGGTATCAGTGTAGTTATTAGATTTTAAACACAATTAGTCTGTATGGATTTTATGTGGATGTACCTTATAAGTTCCACGTTCATTGAATTCTGAAGAGTATACTTGTACCTGTCATTGTTCGATGCTAATTAAATTGGTACTGGAAAATTTCTGAAATTTTTTCTTTAGAAGCATCTCATTAGTCCTTCAAGATTAAATTTTCTTAGAGCATTGGAGTCCTTTTTTCATGTTTTGACTGTTGATGAAAGGAAGATATCCTGTTGTTTTGAGCACATGAGTTGGCATACCTATCAATTTTACCAAAATTTCCAGTAAAAAAAAAATACTATAGTAATGAGGATTAAATGAGGGGGAAAAAAACGGTCGCTACGGAAGTGTAAAGAAACATATAGTGCCAATGGGAGAAATAGGAATTAAAGGTAGAAAAATTCACACTTGCATACTTCCCTTAGATTAAACAAAGGGAAAATTTCTACACATCAAAGAAGACCACCAAAAAAATGTTTTCCTCGAATAATTTTGTGGGGGAAAAAAGCCGATGAAAACCCTATAAAATGCCGCAATTGTCACAACAAAAGGGATTTTATTTTTGGATATGTAGAAACCAAATTTGCTGTCATACCCCCATTAAACTGAGCTTGATTGTTGACTTGATTGTTGACTTTGTTACAGGTGTAAATCCATGTGTTTTGTGTTTTCGAGTGAAGTTTTATCCTTCGGATCCTTCCAAGCTGCACGAAGAAATAACAAGGTATACCATGATTGCCAAAAGACAGAAGTTACTATGGAACAAAAAATAGTTTTAAAAAAAAATAAAATGGGGTGAAAATTTTACGGCATACAGTAATTGTATTGCTATAAGTGTGTTTCACTGAGATCTGTATTTGGATATGATTTTAAAGAATTAAGTACCAAGAATCAGCTTGACCATATAGGGATTTACATTCATTTTGATTTCTCTTCTCTAGATATTACTTGTTCCTACAACTGAGACGTGACCTTCATCATGGCCGCCTGCTTTGTTCACAGGCTGATGCTCTTGTTCTGGCAGCCTATATTATCCAATGTAAGTCAGATCTAGGTCAAAGTTTTAATAACATTATAAACAAGAGGCCCAGGGGCCACATCGCTCACCTGAGCACTATGGCTAGGAAAAAACAGAAATCAGTTCAGTCTTAAAAGGTTGAAAAGTTTGAATAAAAAAGTGGTTCGGGGGGAGGGGGGGTGTCATAAATTGAACAAATTTGAATCTACAATATCTGAGGATGCTTCCATTTGAATATGACCAATCATGGCTTTGCTGCTCTTGAGTAGAAGATTTTTAAAGATTTAACCTATGTATTCCTATATGAAACTTTGATCTCCCATTGTGGCCCCACCCGACCCCCGGGGGTCATGATTTGAACAAACTTGAATCTACACTACCTGAGGATGCTTCCATGTAAATATGACCAATCATGGCTTTGGTGTTCTTGAGAAGAAGATTTTTAAAGATTTTCCTATATATTCCTATGTAAAACTTTGATCGCCCATTGTGGCCCCACCCGACCCCCGGGGGTCATGATTTGAACAAACTTGAGTCTACACTATCTGAGGATGCTACCATATAAATATGACCAATCATGGCTTTGCTGTTCTTGAGAAGAAGATTTTTTAAAGATTTTTCCTATATATTCCTATGTAAAACTTTGATCGCCCATTGTGGCCCCACCCGACCCCCCGGGGTCATGATTTGAACAAACTTTAATCTACACTATCTGAGGATGCTACCATATAAATATGACCAATCATGGCTTTGCTGTTCTTGAGAAGAAGATTTTTAAAGATTTTTCCTATATATTCCTATGTAAAACTTTGATCGCCCCCAGGGGTCATGATTTGAACAAACTTGAATCTACACTACCTGAGGATGCTTCCACATAAGTTTCATATTTTCAAGCACAGTGGTTCTTGAGAAGAAGATTTTTTAATGATGCCATTAATTTTTCACGAATTCTTAATTATCTCCCCTTGGAAAAAGGCGTAGCCCTTCATTTGAATAAACTTGAATCCCCTTTACCCAAGGATACTTTGTGGCAAGTTTGGTTGAAATTGGCCCAGTAGTTCTGGAGAAGAAGATGAAAATGTGAAAAGTTTACAACAACGACGACGCCAACGACAACGATGACGACGACAGACAACAGACAAATTTTGATCAGAAAAGCTCACTTGAGCCTTTGGCTCAGGTGAGCTAAAAACAATAATGTAGAAACAGAAGAGAAAGTTAAGTGTGTCTGATGTGACTGGTAAGTGGTTTTCTCTGGTTTTTCTGGGGACTGGTCCTGAAGTTGAAGAATATATTAATTTGTTCATATGGTCATGAGTCCATTGACAGATATTCTGGGTTTGTTTCTTTATAACTTTTCTCATGATAATCCTACAATTTTCGAAGTTGGTATGTTGTTTTAGTGTGTTAGATCTTATATAGCCTACTGTAAACCAGTTTTTATTTGTGTGTGAGAAATATCTGTGAGTTTCATGACCTTAGCTACATTAACTCACAAATATTAATCACAGTGAACCATTTATTTCGGTTTTATTGAAGAGAATGTTTCCTTGGTTGTGAAAATTAATTGTCGCGGATTGATTTCAAACTGACAAATTGCGAATAAAAGATGACACGAATATTAGTTGGTTTACAGTATTATGACACAAATTTGTATATCAGCTAGGGGAGCTAGGCTAGATTATGAAGAATTGAGTTGAGAGATTTCTAGCTATTACAAATTCAGTTGAAAAAGAGAAACTCATAAGGACTTTTTGAAGAAAAAAAAAAAGACTACAATATATATATATATATATGAATGTGATGGATCAGCATTTATAGTTTCATGTATTCATTTTTCAGGATAAAAAATTACTTGTGTCAACAATATAATCAGCATCAAATAAAATGTTTTAATTTTTGTATATCAATTTGTTTATTCTCCTTGGACGTGTAGTGATTTAAAAGATTTTTAAGAGAAAAAATGGATCAAATTTAAATCTTGGCAAAAAAAAATTCATGCTTTCAAAATTGAAGCCTTATTAATCGAATTTTGTGTTTGATAGCTGAGGTGGGGGATTATGACCCAGAGGATCACCCCCCAGGCTATGTGTCAGAGTTCAAGATGCTTCCAAAGCAGAATGCCAAAATGGAGGAAGAAATCATGGAAATTCACAAGACCCTAGCGTAAGCACTACAAAACATTACAGTAAATATCTGGCAAAAGAAAAATATTAGACAAATCTTTATTTATAGATTAGAATATAAAACAACTCCCTGTTTATAAATAAATTGAAATAAAATATGATTTAAAGTAAGTAAATGTTATATAGTTACAAACATTTCATTAGTTTCACTCTGAGAGGCAGCTTATGAAGATACAAATCTGACTTTGTAGCTGGGATCAAGTAGAGAGACCCATAAGTCTCTATATAAGTCACGGTATTCTTTTATAGAGGACAGGTACCAGCAGAAGCTGAGGCCAATTTCCTGAAGAAAGCTGCCACCCTGGACACGTATGGGGTGGACCCACATCAGGTGAAGGTAAGAAATGTCACCAATTTTACCCTATCTCAGTAAGCTAGCAATTTTACACTATCTCAGTAAGCTAGCTTAGAAAAAGAAAAAGATTAAAAGCGATTAAAAGGTTTTTATTTTGTTTCTAAATTTCTTGCATATTAAACACAATTATATTCTTATAATATATTTTTATTATTATTATTTTACCATTTAATTGGCTTGAAAAACAGTCATAATAGGTTCTTAAATTTCTTGAAAATTCAACACTATTACAGAATCTGTATAATGTATATATTCTTATTACATATTATCATTTTACCATTTAAATTAGCTTGAAAAACAGTCATAATTAGGTGATAAAACTTGTTCTTTACATTTTGACAGGTTATGCTTTCATTTGGACAGAATTTTTCCTTCATTTGGGTGGAGAAAATAATTTCATTTGGGCAGAATACTCTTTTATCAAAAGGGTGAAAAAGTGGTGATTACCTGTGAAAAACTATAGAAAACAGCTGATCATGAGAATAAATAGATCAATTAGACTTTGATGTTAAATAAATCAACTCTACGTATATTTAAGGAATGAAGCTTATTTTAACCTATGTTATACGATATAACATAACTTGGGGCAGTTTACGCTTTATAAACCGCAAAGGGGAGATAATCAAGAAAAGGCAAAATTAGGTTGGGATCATCAAAATAGTGTTCTCAAGAACCACCGGGCTAGAAAAGGTGAAACTTATGTGGAAGCTTACTGTGGTAGTGTAAATTCTAAATTATTCATATCATTACCCCCCAGGGATAAGGTGGGGCCACAATAGAGTATTAAATTTTTACATTGAAATACATAGGAAAATCTTTAAAAATCTTCTCAAGAACTACTGGACTAGAAAAGATGCTTTCTTGTGCAAAAAGATACAAAAGTTAAACCCAAAATAAGAGCTTTGCTTGACCAGAATTAACACCTATGATGTCAGAGCAATGGCGTGTAGAATTGCCAAAATGTAGAAAAATGTTGTGACAAGGTGATCCTGTTTCATGTACTGCATGACTTATCCAGTGATAAACCATTGTGTTTTAGGATCAGAAGGGTGTTTCTCTTTATCTTGGTGTCACACATCAAGGCATTATGACTTTTCATGGAAGTCGCCGAACACAGCTGTACAAATGGTAAGAAATAGTGCGCTTCAAATTTTTTATTACAACCTATGTTCATTTTTTCCAAGTAAAGATATCTGTTTATCTAAAAAAATTCCATTAATGTATACAGGAAATTTTACAAATGACTTGAAAATTACCGGTAGTTGTTAATTTATAAGGAAACTTTTTCAAAAAGATTATAAATTTTCAGGAGCCAAATTAAGAAGATGCCTACCTATGAAGGAAAGACATTCATCTTACATGTCAGTGTTGCTGAGGTGGGTACTGAATTAGAGAACTAGGCAAATGATTCTCTTAATAATGGCAGAGTTAAAATTTAAAGCCAAGGGAACTTGAGATAAATATGTATTAATAATTACTTAATATTCCAATTACCATGCATTTCATCACTATTTCAGGATACTGTATACAGGGTTATTTTTGCCCTGTGTTATTCACACTTGCAAACAAATTTGCCCTATTTTAAATTTGCCCAGTCATAATTCTGTTTAAGATATTATTCTGTTTTCTTTTTTTAATTCGCCCCGTTTTAAATTTGCCCATCTGTGAGTAGGGCGAAAGGGGTGAAAATAAAACAGGGGCAAAAATTTCCCTGTGTACAATATATCACAGGATAGTTTTTATTTTTTTTTTTTGCATTGTAGGATGAAGATCAAGCAAATAACAAAAAGGTAAGTTACTGAGTCAAACACACAAAAAAATCCCTAATCATAGATAAAGATACCTCTTTGCTGACATCATTAGTTTTTAGTTCATTTAGGGATTGTACAATATTTGTACTAACTCAGCTGACACACAAAAAGCTCTGTAATTAAAAAAAAAATGAATGTAAGTCTAGTATCAGTACAATTAATATTTAGAAGAGATTTGGGGATGACAATATTTTACCATTTTTAGGCAAAAGTTATGAAAAAAAGACAGTTGCAAGGCAGCTTGTTAGGGTATTGTTTATTATACCAGAAGTGGACCATATTCGTTCCCACTACATATTTACTCAAGTCACAATTCATTCTTCTCCTCTGTACAGTTTGTTTTATCTAATGTTATAAAAACAAAATTAATTGTATTTATTTCCAGAAATGATGAATTTGTTATATTTTAGCGTAACCTCTCATTTATATGTACTGGACCCATTGAAGTAATAACTTTGATTCACTTTTAAATGGAATAAACAGAAACATGTATTTTTTATGGTGCTTGTGGTTATTTTGTATAAATATGGAGTGGTTCAAAAATATTATACTTCATCTACCATTATTTATTTTGTATAAAATCTGCTCTAAGTAACTGGTTATGGCATTCCTGTACAGGTCAAAAGTACAAGAAAATTTAGCTCTATTATTCTTTAGTACCAAGTAGTATCTAGACATGCACAATGCTGTATTATGCATTATAGCTGGGATCAGGGAAGTGCATGGCATTAGTGTATATTTATACAAGTGGGATGTTTTACTTTCATAAGTTTTGTTGATTAATTATTACTTTAAAAAAAATAAAAAAATATATATAGTATAGAAAAGATTTCAATATACAGTTGAACTTCGGTATCTCAAATGATTTAAATATTGTTAACATAAAAACAAACTGATATTTAGAAATTGCTGTCAAACCATGTTATCTAGAAATCAAGGGGACTAAAAAAAACTTCAAGATATCAAGGGTAAAATACATAAAGAATCAGTGGTTGGGATCTCCAAATGGCTTTGACATATCCATGGTATTCAAGATATCAGTGTTCGAAAATTATCAAATAAGAGATGACTCTTGACTCGTATTTTAAAATATATAGCTTCCTCATTAACTTGGTATATGTATATATAAGGATGATGTTAACCAGAATTCATAAACTCTTTTTGTACGCAATGTATTGATAAATACATATTACATAATATATTGGTAACATTAACCAGAACTGTTAAGTGTATAAGTGGAATTATTATACCCCTTGCAACAAGTTGCGGGGGGCATAATGTTTTTGACCCATCTGTCAGTCAGTCAGTCCTGTTTTTTTGTCAGTGCAACTCTTCTTAAACCGCTGCACAGAATTTCGTTAAACTTTGCAGATATTTAGGACACAGTGTATAGATGTGCATATTGCCAGGAAATTCTGATTCCATTATTTTTCTGGTAATTTCGTCACTTTTCAACTTAGATTTTTTGCCATATCTTGAATTTAGAGATGAACAGTTTGTCAGCTCAAATCCTCTTAAACCACTGCACAGAATTTCGTCAATCTTTGCAGATATTTAGGACACAGTGTGTAGATGTACATATTGTCAGGAAATTCTGATTCCATTATTTTTGCCCTTAGAGTTTTGGCTATTATTGAAGAAACTTTCCAACTAGGTAATAAGGAAATCCACTAGAATCAGCTTTTGTAATGAAATCTTATGTGAAATATTTTATGACCTTAAAAGACCCTTATTGATTTTTAGATCAAAATACCGGTATTAATGATTCAACACACACATACATAAAATCTTGGATAGAAGTACTGGTACACAAAAAGTTCTCAACTCCCCTCAAATCAGTGCTTTGCCTTAAATAATTTCATAAGTACAGTATATAAACAAATTAATTTATATGACGTCATACTACGGCATAATTTTGTTTCCATCAATTATTTAAATATGTAAATTGTCATACGTTGGACATGGACTTACACACATTAAGAAATCAAAATCACTGAGGAATTTAAATAACAGTTTGTCAGCATAACTCCTGCACTGAATTTCCTGAACTTTATATGTATTTCAGACATTATCAAGTAATGTGCAGATTTGTATATTACCAAGAAATTTTGATTCCATTATTTATCTGGAAACCTCAGCCCAATTAAATTTGTTACATATAAAGATTTGAATGACCTTATATGCAAGAAGTTTTGATGTGATGATCTTTTGCAAGTAATGCCCCTTTTTGAATTATACTGTGTATTTAAAGAGCACCTCACCATTCATTATGTGTTGCATTGTCAAGTTTTGGGGGAGTGTGGGGTATGTGAGCTTGCTCACTTTTTCTTTCATTTGCGAGATGCAAATACAGCAATAAATCTCTTTAAAAAAATGGTATTTAAATTTTAGTGAGAAGTAATTTTAGCGATTTTGTGATGGATAGAATGATTACAGTAATTACCTTCAATGTGGGAATGAATTGTTAGTGATAGTCAATTTTAGCAATCTCAGCATCCTCGCTAAAAATACCAAAATTGAATCCCTGCTTAAATTTCTGCTTAAACGGTATATTGGTCTAAAATGGTCTTGCAGCATGTGAGACATATGGAATTGTACCAATACTTTTGTTGATATAAACTTCAAAATTGTGTCCATACCCCTTTAACTGTGGATGAATAGGTATATATATGTACAATGTAAAGGAGATGTTAACATAAGGCCATTGCACTCCCAAAGGTAAAATATGGGTTAACTCAGATCACATTGACACAGAGATTATTTATCTTACGACCATAATGTAGGTAACCTTATATATTTTAAAATGGACTGTGACATCATAGAAGTTAATGCACAATAAGAATAAAGTGTGAAAATGGCATCAAACTCATTACTACTACATTTCTTCGAAATTTCGAGTGATCATTACCTCTACATTTTATCTATAAAACAAATGGCGATTACAACTTATTACAGCTACATATTTGAATCTGCCAGCAATGGCACAGAATATGAATTCTATTCAGGCCGGAAGGAGAATAACAACATGAGTCGGAAAAAAGAACTGAAAGTGAAATATGAAAATGGTGAGATTTCCAGACGGCAGTATAGATCAAGCAAATGGCTCTTCAAAGCTCTACCAATTTTGTGAAGACTGAGTTTTATCCATGAACAGTTTTCTGTTTTAAAACTTTCTAAAATTTTTATTAAAGTAAAAAAAAAAAAACAAAATTTTTAAAAAGTCAGAAAAAACATCCTGCTTAAAGTCCTACATTCACCTCCCAAAGGTGAGCAGGATAAACTGGTCTTACACATATATATGTTGAACTTTAAATCAATCTGTACATGCAAAAGCCACTGGTTAACAAAAGAGGCAATGTAGCGGTAATGTATACTTTTAAATGTAGCGGACGTAATATAACCTTTTTTGTAGCGGTAATGAGTATGTAGTGGTAATGAAAATTTTGAAAATGTAGCGATAATGATATGCACCCCAAAATAATATGGGTCATGTAAATCCAGATTAAGATGATCCTAAATAACCCAGTGTGACAGGCCCCTAGATATCATAAACATCTCCTTTCTGGATACATCCGTGGCATATCTGACATCAGATAATTTACACATTTAAATGACTGTGAAATGTTCAGATTGACAAAAGGGTAGTTTAGACGTCAGTTAGGTTCAGTATGTAGTAACAACTTTGTTATTGTTGGGTGTAACTTGTATAAAAACAGCAAATTTAATTTCAAAGAGTACTTCCAGTTGTTTCAGTAAGCTTTGGTTATTAAAAAAATATATATATATTTTACTGTTTATTCTTTAACTGCTATTGAAAAGCTTGTACTTGTTTTAAATTTTATAACTATTATTAGGCCATCTTTAAAAAATTTTGTTTGCCCTCTCCCAACTGACAGGCTAAAAATGGCCCGACTCAAACTTTTTTTAACCTCCAGGAAAAGATAATTTTTTTCCTTTTCATTCCTGAATTTTTTCATTCTGTCAACAAGTATGTTGAAATTTTCTGGAAGAAAATTTTTTCTACCTACCAACCCAATATATTTACCCTGAGTTGGGAGAGGGCAAACAAACATTTTTCTTTAAGATGGCCTTATGATTTTTGTTGTTGTTGTTTTTTTTCTGTTCATGTACAAAAAAGATTGAGAATTTTAAATTCCAAGATAACATTCAGTAGGTTATTTTTCCATCTCTGCATTTAATTGATAGAAGCAGAAGCCAATAGGATACAAATGTGACACCCTTGCTGCTTGCAAATATCTCTGGAAGTGTGCCGTTGAACAGCAATTGTTTTTCACGTAAGTTTAAAACTTCTTTAGTCTAAAGTGTATATTGTACCAATATGAAAGTTCTCCCAATTTTTTAGCTCTACTGGTCAGAGATCAGAAAAGCTTATGTGATAGTTAAATGTCTGTCATCAGTCCATCTGTCTGTCTTTCTGTCTGCCTAGCTATCTGTCCATCAATTCATCTGTTCATCCATCCATCTATAAACTTTTCACATTTTCAACTTCTTCTCAAGAACCACTTGGCCAATTTTAACCAAAGTTGGTACAAAGCATTTTTGGGTGAAGGGGAGTTTAAATTGTTAAAATGAAGGGCCAAGCCTCCTAACAAGGGAGATAATAAGAAAAGAGAAAAATAGGGTGGGGTCATTAAAAAATCATCTTCTCCACAACCACTGGGTCAGAAAAGTTGAAACTTACCTGGAAGTTTCCTGAGGTAGTGTAGATTCTAAATTGTTCAGATCATGGCCCCTGGTGGTATACAGATATAACAAATTACAGATATAGTGAAGTAACTTTTTCTCAGGTCCCCAGAACTTTGCTATAACGGAGTTTTACTGTATCAATCATGATTTCTCTTGAAATACGGCTTGTTTAGAGGATTTTAGGACTACTTAGTAAATGAAATGGTTTTCTTATAGAAAAAATTAATGCTGAGAATGTGATAGATTTTTTCTGTAAATGGTGAATTGTAAAGATGATACTAGTAATTTTTTAATTAAACTTTACAGTAATATAGTGCCCTGTTCACACGGAGAGTTTAATTCGAATTAAATGTAAGTTACTGCGAATTAAATTTGATCCGCGTTCACACAGAGAAATTAATGCGAATTAGTTTAATTCGAATTAATTTACTACACATTGAATTACTTCACATTAGCTCCGTGTGAACGCTAAGCAAAGCTAATTCGAATTAAATTTTGATGCATGCATAAGGGAAGAATTAAGTCACAAGCCACATGTCGATGGTCAAATATAGGTACTTGTGCTATTTCTGAGTGGAAAACAAAGGAAAATTATGTTAATCACTAAAATGTGTACAGACACTCTGACATTATGTCAAATGTATATCTGGCACAATATGACGTGATTTGTAAATGACATCATAATAGACTCACTGAATAGCCTTGTTGTGGAAATAAAATTATAATTCGCATTAGTTTACTTCGCATTAGCTGTCGTGTGAACGCAATTTAATTTGCATTAGTTTAATTGGCATCATTTTACTTTGCATTAATTTACTGCGAATTAAACTCTCCATGTGAACAGGGCATAAGAAAAAACATCTGCAATTCTTTCAAACATACATTACAGGTTGCAGAATTCGGCCCATCCACCCAAGCTACGATCAGGACACAGCCTGTTTTCCAGAGGCTCAAAGTTTAGATTTAGGTTTATTATTAATGATTCTTTATTTTCTACATCAGTGATAATCTTGGCTTTAAAGCAACACATACAAAATGCTATTGGACCATATCGGTACAAATTGAAATTGATTTTTTTCCTCCCTTTTTTCAGTGGAAGATGTCAGAATGAAGCTTTTGCTGCCAGCGAGGAGATCAAGAGAAATGAACCTAATTTCAACAGGTCAGTTTGAACAAACGTATAGTGTTGAAAACGAGGAGTGAATAAAGTTTAATGTGCTTCAACAAAATTATAGACTTTTGATTGACATTTGGAACTTTTTGAATTTAAAAAAGTAAAGAAAAAAAGGGAGTTCGTATTTTCAGCTCTTCTAAATAGGTTTGTCTGCATTCTTTACCAAGTGACAGTGTTGATGTTTTAATTTTTAGAACCTCCTCCTTGCCAAACTATGGTAGAAAACCAGAGAGCAAGAATTCTCCAAACAAACACAAATCTATGACACTTGAGATTCCCATTAAGGAGGGTAAGTAGCCAGTGGGTAGAAGTTGCAGGACATTATTCTAGAATTCCTCTTACTGTTTGTAATTATGTCCTCTTGTCTTAATGTCTCCTTTGTTGTCTTTTTTAATAATTGTAAATCTCCATTATTCCTGATTGATTTTTTTTTTTTTGGTGCTATACATGTTAATTTTTCCCTTTCATTATTTGTAACCAAATTGTTGTACATAGTAATCATTGCTTGTTGCATGATAAGCATAAATGAGTTCTGGTAAAATGCTAGGATTATTTTTTTTAATACCAAGTTGCCTTCAAATGGTTGTTATATAAATAAAATGTTCAGAATGTCACATACTGGTCTGAGCTCACACAGTATTATTGCATGTAGACAGTAAGGAATGAACAGAGTTAAATTTTGTTAAAGAACAATAAAAACAAAGCATATTATAAGTTAATACCAAAGGTTATTTTTAATAAATTCTGCATTTAGTAAATGTCATGATTTAAATTTGATAGATACAGTATAATTATAATCTATGTCTAGTATTCATTTAAACGTTTCTCTCAGACTGCAAAAAAAGTCAGTTTGATCGCAAAGATATCAGTGACTTTCAAAATCAACCCTTTGCAGGCATAATGAAACTTTCCCTTCACTGGCTTAGCTTCTTTGCATTTGTTTAATATGTCATGTTATATTTTTCTTTTATGCATATAGCAAATAAAACAAGTAAGTAATGCAGTGTTGTGAGTAGGTTTACCATGTTTGCATGTTATTTGTAGATAAAAGAAAATACAGGGTTAACAAGGGGTTACGCAGGGGTAAGTGCTCAGCCCAATATTATTCTCTGAGTATTTGTAAGATTACTAGAGATGATACTGCATGTTCGAGATATTATGCATTAAAGCAGAAAGATGGTTTCCCCTAAACCTAGAATTGATGAAATCACTTAAAATATACATGTTTTTACAAATAATTGTTTTCACAAATGAATTTTTAGTCAAAAGCATTATATTTTTATTAAAACTATTGACCTTTCTTCCCACTTTAATGATTTCATTATCTTCTAGACATTTTGTTTCATACATGCACGAAGATTTTGAAAAACTCAAAATTACTGTAAAAAATTTGTTAAAACAAGCTTTAATGTATCATGATTTACAGTCTCTCCTTGAGCACACTCTGTTAATTGATTAAATTATCCTCAAATGTCTTTGGTCTCTAATTAAAATATAATTTGAAACTGATGTCATTTACAGTTACTCAGAGATGAGAAAGACATGGGAAAAAAATTTTTCTTGACTTAGCAAAATTTTGTACATTACAAATAGATACATAATACCTATATTAATTATGGTATGTACTCGCATGTAAGTCAGATTTTTTCAGTGTCAAATATTGATTCAAAACTCTTAGGCCAACATAAATGAGTACCCCAGTACATGTATTAGAAATATCAGTATTTTTCTGGATGACAAAATGTAGCATTTCCTTAAACTGCTTACAAATTTTAATTATTCCATTTTTGTTTAAAATCTATATTCTTTATTGTGTGTTTTACATAACTATTAAAGATCAAATATGGATGTTATACCCAAAATACATGTTGAAACATTCTTAAATACAATACAGGGTTGTCCCGAAGAATCGAAATAGCAGAGGACTTTAAAAAAGTAGAAGGGGGTATAGGGTTCCTCCCTACAGGGGTTCGTGGAGAATAACCAGGGATTACATCAGGGAAATTCCCCGGTCCCCGGGTCTTAGGGACAACTCTGCAATAGAATATTGATCTGAAATTAGCAACTCATTCTGTTAAAAAAAAAATAGTGCCGAGTTTATTTGGGTCAATATCTAATTCTTCCAAAATAATATGAACAAATATGACTGTCTTGTAAGCAAACTGACTTATATATGAGAGTATATACATTATCTGTCCCCTGTTTATTAATTGGTTCAGAAGATCAGTGTTCTTGTTCAAAATTTTTTATACTCCATTGCAGTAATAAACAAGTAATTTTGAAACCCAGTTATTTACAAATAACATGACTATGTACAGTCTCCTGCATTCACATCTATTCTACAAGTAGAGAAGGATTTTTTACTTTTTGCACAGCTTTGCTTTTAGTTTTGGAAGCAAGAATGCTTGCCAAAGGAAGGCACTGTTTGTTTTAGTGATAATACTTATCCTATCAAATGAACAGAAAATTCATAATGATATTTCGTCAATGTTTGCTTTGCATGATTTTAAAAATGTGAAATTTGTTCAAACTTTCTTCATATTTGCTTCTCCTTCTTAAGTTTTGCAGACATTGCTTTATTCTTAGATGTGAGATAGATTTATCTGCTTCTGGGAAAGTTTTGAATTCTGATTTACATTGATATTTAATTTCACTTATGCTTTTTATGTTTCATTTTGATTTAGAGTCTGCAGTAGATGTACCAAGCAAAGAACCAAGTATAATGGCAGATATCGTACAACAAGCCCCTGTCACAGCACCTGTAGCTACACCAGAGGACTCCATTGTGTCTGAAGTGGTAGAACCAGAGAAAATTACTGCCACAGAAACAGAACCACTTAAACAAAATGGCAGTCTGCCAGCTATAGTTCTCAACTCAGAGAGTGAGGAGATGCCCCCATACGAACCTAACCATACAGTGATTGAGGAACAATCACCAGTCAAGGAGGGTAAAGGTCATCAGGAGATTTCAGACAGTGATGAGGAGGAAGAGGTTAAAAAACCAAGCTTGGAGGAACAGCTTAAGGATTTGGAAGAGGAGATTGAGAGGAAGAGTAGCTTCTCTGGTTCTTATCAACCAGAGGCTGATGTACAAGAAGAAGTAATCCTCACCACAGTGCCCAAATCCAGCAATAACGTCCAGTCTTCACCGCACAAACAGAATCATTTGGGTACCTCCACAAAGAGCACCGCAGTGGAGCCAACCAGCACCGGCAGTGGCTGCTGTCGTATGTTCCTCTTCACTTTCTTTTTTGTGTTTCTCACCCTAACAGTCACAGCCATTGCTCTGTTGAGTTCTAACTTAGATCATCCATTGCTAACTCAACTCAGACAACACCTGCAGTTTGTCAATCCAGTGAGAGATTATGTCATGGACAGAATTAATTCATTCTTTTCCTAGGTCATAGGACTTTTTCTGGAGGTTTTCTCTAAACCATGCATTGCTCACCACTGAGGAAGCTAGTGTGGTTAATTATTCTACTTTTGGGTAGTGGGATTTTGTCTGTAAGACAAGAGATTACATATCTATATTTATGGCATATATGTGTAGGTACATAAACTGCAAATAAAATGGAGGAAATATTAGTCTGTAAGAGAAGCATTTCATGTATTTTTATGTTAAAACATTTGCTCCACTACATTTTATTATACTTTTTTTGCATTTTATGTTCATTTTTACAATCATGTATGTTGAATCTTTTAAGTAAAAAAAAGTGGATTATGAAATTTGAAAGGAAAAAAACAAGTGAAAATGACACTTCAGTGAAGTGAACTTAGAAGTTGTATTGCTATTTTGTAGAAAGGGTTAAGTGTGGCAGCTAAACCTTATGATTGAAATATCTTGTGTGTTACATTCATATCTTTTAATTTTTTTCCTAATGTTTTGTTAACTCTTTGTTATGTACATTAGAATCTATAGCTTTAATCAATTTCTCACTTTCAGCTTTTAATTCTAACTTTCAGTTTTTTAATTATCACAGACTTTAAGCTTTTTTATTCTCACTTCCAGTTTTTCAATGGTGTATCTCAAAGTCTCAGTTTTTCATCAGGTCTCAATGAGCTTGCCAACACTTTCTATCTTTTGAACTAAATCACCAGTTTTCAAAGTTTCCCAATTGTTTGTGATTTAATATTATTTTACATGAGTGGAAAAAATATTTATAGGTGCCAATTAAGAAATTTTAAATGTGGTAATAAACCATCAGCCCACTTGAGTTGTAGAAATGAATGTCATTGTTTATATATACATGTATATATGTTTTAAAAAAAGGTTGTCTTGATAAGCAAATATGGTCTTTCTTAATTTTTCTAAATCTTCAGCATTTCATTAATATTATTTCTTAAATAGATCGGGGGGGGGGGGGGGGGGGGGGGGGGGGTAATGCTTTTATATGCATTTTTTTACTGTCTGAATTCTTAATTATTTTTTTATTAAACCCATGTCTCTCTCTAGGAGTAAGAAAAAGACAAATACCTGTATCCTTTAAAATTTTTGCAAATTGTAATTTTGCAGTAAAATTATTTACTTCAAATGTCTATATATAAATTGCTTCTCTTTTCATATGATTAATCGACAGTTATGTTGTTTGTGTTTTATAAAATATTTTAAACCATTACTGTATGTAACTTGTACATTTTAAAGTAATATATTATAACTTTTAAAACTTTATATTTCATTGTATTGTTTTTGCGAGCTGGACCAATTTTTTTTTTTTTTTTATTGTGATTCATATTTCATTTGTTTTTCACTTGTACATATTTTTACTAGTCTCATAAAGGTGCATTAGTTAAAAAGAAGGATAATTTGAAAATTTTTGTTATAAAAAGTGTGATTGTAGTATTTACTAGATTTCTTAATACATGTACAGGTGTTCATAGTTTATATCAGCAGGTGTCACCTTGAATCTTTGGGTAAGAAAATGAAGTTACAAAAATTTAACCAGTTCAGAGGAAAATGCAGCATATCAACATCAAAATCTAAACATTTACACTTCAAACACTTCATTTTTTTTTTTTATGAAAACCTTGTAAAGAAAAAAAATCGGTATATTCTCCAATAAGTTGATAATTAGGCACATGACTTTTCAGGGCCCTTGGCAATGAATTATACTGTTAGCTCAATATCTGGAAGGAGACAGTTTTAAATCAGAGTCTAAGTAAAGAATGCCAATCTTTTGTACACTTGAGAATAGTATTGAAATTTTGTGTTTTTTAACTTGTTCATTTTTCATGCATGTGTGATAAATTTATCATTGTATGTCAGTTTTGTGCAATATGTGCAGTTAACCATATTTCACTACAAGCAGTGATGTGGTACATGTAAATTTTGGCCATTTAGATTTCTATTTTTAATAGAAATAAATTTCAATTAAAAAATTATTACACTCTTCAACAGTACTGTAAATCGCTAATACCTGGTAGTATGCTTAAGACAATAGTTTTCATTTGTATTTATTTGTGGGACCAAACAGAAAATGAAATTAAAAAAAGATATGTTCTGTTTATCTTGAAAACAGAATGAGTGAGTAAATTATCATGTAATTTCAACCAACCCTTCATTTTTTTTCATGTTGATAAAGTGGAGAAATTCGTTAACTAGTGTAGCCTTGTTTTACATTATTTTGCTCTTTTTCCATATGTGTTCAATGGAATGTGTTTCTTTGCTTTCTGCAGTACATAACATCAGCTGGGTTTTCTAGTTTTTCGCCTTTGTAAGGATTTTCGCTTGCTGTTAGTATTTCTCAGCTTTTCATGTACTTTAATTGTTTGTTAACTGTATATTTAGAAGAGTTTCCAGGAAAAGTCAGTATTTCTGTCTCTCACTCTGAAAGCAAAGAAGGTTCAAAATATTTGATTTGATTTGATTTAGAAAAATCTTATTAAAAAAAAATGTTGAAAGTATGTTTAATAGGTGGGTTAAAAAAAGGCAATAATTTACAAGAGATATCAATCATTGCATGTTGAATTAATGTGAGGAATCATCTTTTTAAAGTCAATTATCTCTGTAGTGTTAGAAAACAGAAATACAATGCTAAAGTGCAAATAAAGAAAGGCCAGTCTGAGAACAAATGCTATAGATATGCACTTCAGTAAAAATGGCAACTGTTATGAAGTTAAAACGTTTATCTCTTTGACCTAGTACATGTATATTGCAGAAAGCACAGAAGGAAAGCTAGTTTGGCATACATTTCTTGTTTTTCTGTAAAACCAGGGCATTGAATGGACCAATTTTTATGTGACAATAGTAAAATGCTTACTAAAATGGAAAGCATAATATGAATGTGAGGATCTTAACATTTTTATTACTTCATATTTTGTCTTGAACAAATCTATTAAACATAACATAAGACAATGCATGATTTTCAGTATTGGTTGTGGACCAGATATACAATAATGATACTGACTGTGTTGTTTTTAAGGATTCACAGCTTAAGGACTTAATAAACTGCATGTTGATGGGGTTTTTTTGTACAGTGATATTCAGTTGAACATTTGGTACTCGTTACTTGAAAGACATTTTTTTTACTGTCGAATGCTTTTAAAGGGATACCAGTATATTCATTTTTTATGACTCTTAAGCTTTATTTGTCTTAAAGTCCTTAGTATATTAATGTATCTATAATTATTGTTATATACATAATTATATGTGAAATTATGTGTAAGCTTTCTAAAATTTACATTGTACTTGTGGCTAAAACTATATTTATAACATAAACAGAATTTACATTGACCTATATAAACATGTTTACCACATTTTTTGCACTGTAAAATTACTGGATAGTGTTCAAAAAGGATGATATTTTATCAACTCTGACTGCGTGTTGTTTAGAAATGGTACTGTCACTTGTTTATACAAATGTCTGTGATTTTTCACTCCAATGTAAGATTATTTTGTTGCAGTAAGTTTGGTCTGAAATCTGCCATGATATGGAATTGGTAATTCTGACCATTTAATTAGTTGTATTGTTTTATTTTTTGTTTGCATAAATTTGAATAAAATGCATAATTAATTATGTTTGGTGGTTTTCCTCTTATGTGAAGGAAGTTCAGAATTGGTGAATCTTGTGACTCTTGAAGAAAATGCAATGATGCAGATGCAGTAAATCTCCATTATGTTGACAAATTCAAAGAGGAGCAAAATTAGAACAACAGTGTACGGTATAAGAACAAATAGAACCATTTATATATTATTTTACAATAATGTGACAAAGTATGATGTGAATTCTTGGCCAAGAAATACCTTGATTTACCGTACCTGGTGATGAGCAATTGCTTACTTTAGAATGAATTAACTTTTTTATTCCTGGTGCTGTTTGGGTAAAATATGTACAGAACATTCTTTAATGGATTTTACAAAGAACAAGAAATGTTTGAGAAATATATATGCCCCCCGCCCACCCCTCTTGTGACAATATTAAAATGGGAACAACTTTAATAGAATGTAATCATAATGAAAGCAGTTGGTCTACTATAAGTACAGGGACAAACATTATACTAAGCTTGATCTCTATCACACTTCAATATCGGGTAGAAGGGGTAAATGATTCATAGAGGGACTACCAGTGTACCAAATTTGATGTCTGTAAAGCAATGGGTTTTTAAGATATCTTCCAATGCCCAGATTGACCTTTGATGTTGTGACCTTTGAAGCAATAGGGGTTTATCTTATTTCGAAGGGGAACCAGTGTATTAAGTTTGATGTCTGTCAAGCAACAGGTTCTCAAGATATTGAGCGGTCAGTGTACCAAGTTTCATATCTGTCAAGCAAAGTGTTCTCAAGACACTGAACGGTCAATATATTTTAGGAATGACTCTAATTCTTGGCCAAACTCGAGTATAACCTGGTTTGGGTCAGTTTACGCTTTATAATCCACGAAGCGGATTATAAAACAGCGTAAACTGACCCAAACCAGGTTATACTCGAATAATTTGGCCAAGAATTAGTCATTCATTATAATTTAATTTCAAAATCATTAAATAACTATGGGTGTAAAATTTCGTTGCTTTTTGCCGCTCAATAATACAACCGTAGTAACGGAAGTGATGGGAAGCAAGGGGAGGTAAAAACTGATACACAGGCCTAGCAGCCTTGTTGTTTGTTTACATGTGGTAAGATCGAATTACTGTTTGAAGTTAAAGGAACATTTATTAAATCTGGAATTTTCCATGAATCCCAAGGACTGGAAATGAGAGGATTGTATGGATACAGATGATTCAGCTGGTTGTCGGGGGGGGGGGGGGTCCCCATACCAAACCAGGTTACACAGAAATAATTTGTGTTCCTTTTTGGATATTAACCAATCAGAAGCTAGAATACAAACAAAATTAAATTATTCCTGTGTCCAGTTTGATCTTTGATCTTGTGACCTAAAAAAGCAGGCCATCATCTACTTCTATTTTTAAAAGTGAACTAATGTACCAAGTTTGATGTCTGTCAGGTATAAAAAGGTTCTTAACGTATTGAGAGGACAACATATTACGATTGTAGTTTGACCATTGATTTTGTGACATCAAAATCTACAGTGTTCATCTACTCCTCATTATCAACCAATGTACTAAATCTGATACCTGACAATAAACGGTTCTTACATTGAGCGGTCAATATATTACTATGTCCAGATTGACTCTTGACCTTTGATCTTAAGAATTCAACATCTATAGCGCTTATCTACACCTCAGTGTCAACCAATGTACCAAGTTTGATGTTTGTCAAGCAAAGGATTCTTAAAATATTGAATGAACAATATCTTCGTACGTCTATTGTAGTTTGACCATGACCTTTGACATTGTGACCTCAAAATCTACAGTAATCACCTACTCCTCGGGGGGGGGGGGGGGGCATTGTTAATTGATGTCTGTCAAACAAAGGGGTTCAGCAGACACTGAGTGGTCAGTATATTCCTACGTCAAATTTAACTTTTGACTCTTAAAATCACCAGGGGTTGTTTACTTCTTAAAGGGAAACAATGTACAAAGTTTGACATCTGCCAAGCAAATGGTTCTCACGATATTGAAGGAACTATGGCATGTCAAATGTTGCAATATTCGATCTTTTCCATTTGTATTGTATAATTTTCTATTTGTATTGTATAATTTTCCATTTGTATTGTAAAAGTTTCCATTTGTATTCTATAATTTTTCATTTGTATTCTATAATTTTTCATTTGTATTCTATAATTTTTCATTTGCATTGTAAAATTTTTATTTGTATTCTATATTTTTCATTTGTATTCAATAATTCTTCATTTGTATTGTATAATTTTTTATTTGTATTGTATAATTTTTTATTTGTATTGTATAATTTTTATTTGTATTGTATAATTTTCCCTTTGTATTCTTTAATTTTTCATTT